GTTATCAAAGTCAATATAAAATATTTAAAGGAGAATCAAAGTATTACATTTCTTCTTTAGACATGCTTGCTAAAAAGTTTCGCCGTGATAGCCTATTTTCTCGAGTTGCTGGTTGAGGGATAAGTAGCGCCTATTTTGATACATTTTACAACCAGGAGCAAAATTAACTCATTTTATCTGCGATACAGAAGTACATGAACATCAGTAGCGTATTTAGGGGGCGGGCGCCACTTCTCAGGAATTCGACTCCCTGACTACCCAAAAGGTCCCCCTATGGTACTATTTTAAGACCTCCATTTTTGGCGGAACCTAAAGTTCTTCTATGGGCGAAAATATACCCTATTTTTGATGGGGCAACGCGCGCCAAAAAAGGGCTTTTTTGGCCCGTTTTTTTTCAAAGTTTTGCCTGCGGTGCAAAAAATTTGGCAAAAACAGGGTCTTTTAGTGATTTTGGAGAGCTCGGAAATTCAAATTGGTGGACTTAAAGAAAAACTCGAAAAAAATTTCGAAAATTTATTAAGAATCTCCCCCCCCCCCCCTCGAGAAAATCCTTGATCCACCCCTGATGAACATGATCCAAAGAGAAAGGTGACAGTGGAATTGTAGAAATGTTTTCATTATTTGATTTCAAAAAGCTTCAGAGATAATCGACTTTAAGATGATCAAAGCTTTCCGCTTTATTTTTTCTTTTAACTGGTCTAAATGAGTCGGTCTGAAGGACCTAACTGTTTTAAGTTGTGTAAAGTTGGCTGAAAAACCCACCCTATGCAATAATCACTGCGTGACCTGTTCGAAATTAACCAATCAAATCAATTTACTAACTCGATTTTTACAGGAAAAGATTCAGTTACAGGAAAATATTCAGATCAACTCTTCCATTCAAAATACATCAATGTATAATCTAGGGTTTTCCAGCATCTTTCAGCAAGATAATTGACTGTGAACAAAAAAAAAGCTTCAAGAACCACCTTAGATGAGCTTGCGCGACCCTTGGTTGAGCTGCAGGAGCTACTGATCGAAGCGGAAAAAAGTAGGAAAAAAGCACTATTCGTATCTATTAGAACACGAATGTTACAAATGCAGAACAAAATGTTTGGAAAACTGGTAAAACTTTGAAACAGTTTTTTTTCTAAGTTGTTCTCAGCTTACAACATCAAGTACTACATGACACGTTTGCGTCTAATAATGCAGATTTAGATTTATTAGCTTGCCTAATCTCAATTAGAATGCAGAAAGTCAAATCGCTGGAAAATGTTACTGAGCCATATCTGAAGATAACTTTTTCCCAAAATTCAAACGTATCGCCAAAAACACTTTGAATGTGTTACCGAACTCAGTAAAAAGAGAAAATAATAGATTATAAAGGTTTTTTATTGTCAGCCTCCATAAAATTCCAAAAGAATTGATTATAAACGATTAAAAATGGGTTATAATGTTACTATTTTTGAAACTATAAGAATCATTATAACCGATCCGAAATTCCCATATTTTGTTTTGGATTTTTTGTTCGAAATGCAAACATAACAACCACTATCTAAAACTTTTTATATGCATTCATTACTTTTTATACCGTAATAACCAAAAAAATCAATTTTGGAAAATGTTCGTTGTTTTCAAAGTAAGGCACGTAGAAAGTCTTAGATAGTGGTTGTTATGTTTGCATTTTGAACAAAAAAAGTCCAAAACAAAATATGGAAATTCTGGAACGTGGCGTGCATGATTTATCAAAAGTTATCAAAACTCGCTACTTTCTATCATCCTAATTCTGCAAAAAATGGGCCATGTATCGAGTACAAATTTGGAGACAAAAAATGAGATAATTTTGGTTGAATTAGAACTTACACGTTGTGCCAGGAATTTCGACACTAAAAGTAGCATTATTTTAAGGAGAAAATTGTTTAAAAAACTTTGAAAAAAAACCCAAGCAAAACACATTAAGTTTTAGTTCAGTTTCTATTATTTTGATGATATGTCAAATTGGCAGGTAACAAAAACTTAGTGTACACCAGTAAGTTTAACTTGGCGTACACCGTTTTAAGCGGGATTCAAAAATTAATCGAAAAAGTATCGCCGTTTTGTTCTCAAAGTTAAAAAAAAAACATTTTCTCCACTCCTTTTTTCATAAAATGATGGGGGTTTGAGATTGCCAGTGCGGCCAGTTTGAGGCAATTACCCGCGATATGTTTGTGATGCTTTTAAAATATGAACGGCAGAATAATACAATCACAAATGATTTGCAGCATCTGTATAGTGCGTGGGGTTTACATTGAAAAAACATTTTAAAAATGGTTCAAATTTTCTTCCTTTTGTAAACCGTTTTTTAAGCTTTTAACCATCAAACCGTAATTTAAACATTTAGAACAAATTACAAAAAATAGCAGTATTCGAATCAATTAACACTAAAAAGATTTTTAAATCATTTATATTGATTCAGTTTTTTAAAGATTCACAATTTTCCCCAACTTCCTCAGAAAGTGACAGACTATTTTGCTCGGGTATTTTTTTCTCTAGACTTTTTTCGGCTTTTTAACTAGTCATTTTTAGCGGGATTTTTTAATGATTGGGCAAAAAAATTTGTTGTTTTGAACTTAAACATGAAACAACATTTCACATGTGATCATTTTCCTTAAATTTACGGGGGTTTAAATACTGCCATTTTGGGATAATTACCGCGCGATATATTTTATGCTATTAACACAAAAGCGGACATATAATCCGTCTCAAGAATAGTTCCAAATTGAATTGCGGCATGCTATTTGCTCTATTTAATACTTTGCTATATGCTAAACACATCACTTTATACTTTACATCGCGCGCAGAAGGATGCTTTTCACAAAAAAAATCTGAAAATTCTTAATTCGTTTTTGAAATTTTATCCATTTGTCTTAAAGTGAACACAACTCCATAGACCTGAAACGGAACATTCAGGACATTCAGACACTTAGTCGGAACATTCAGACACTTAGTCGGAACATTCAGGACTTCGCCCTGATACGAGCAGCTTTGATTGTGTTTCTTCTATCAAAGTGAGAGAACATTGATTAAGATTGGGGATTTATTGCTGAGCTGTTTTTCATATGCCGTGGAATTCTTGGCCTAATTTGAAGGATTTCTATTTCGTGGTGTTAAAATTTTGTGTTCAGATATATCAAAAGATGACAAACATCTCACTTCTAGAAATTTCAATTTTGACCACAAAAGTTCAGTCCATTTATAAGAAACTTTTTTGTGTTTTATCGTTTCGACGAAATAAGAGATTGTTGTCGTTCTGTTGAAACAGTGATCAATTACCAATCATTATAAGAGATTAAAGTTTTTTAGAAAGTATCAATTATAACCGTTTGTAAATTCTTAAGATACTTGTAATTTTTGTAATTATAATCATTGACTGATTTCGCGAAATTTGTATAAGCATTTAATTTAATTCACTTCAGCCTGAATTTAGATACGGGAAATGATTATACTTATGGAAATTTTAGTTCAAAAGCTTCCGAGTTGATTAATTCTTCGCTAAGGCATTTTTTAGCTTATGCGCATTTAAAAGAAACTGCTGATTAGAAAATTTCAATTTTTGTTTTGCAAATTTATGGCCGACAAATTAGATTGCAAGATTTATATAACAGAATAGAAATTGTTCTAGTGCGCCGAAAATTGTTCAACGGCAGTGGAATGTCGCCTACATTGCGACAAAAGAGTGGTAGTCATGGATACAGCTCACAAGACAGCGACTGGGGACCCCTGGAGAGCGCCAAGTCAGACGAGAGTGGAATCTGGGTGGAACAGAACAACGAGGCCACAAAGAGAAACCATTCAGCAGTGAGACACAATCAAAGTCAAAATGGGCGTCATCAAAAGAAGTTGTTGTCGGTTTCAAGCGAAACTGAGTTGTACCATTCAGCCAAAACCCCCAGCTCGTCTTCATTCGACTTAGTCTCGGGGATGGCAGGGGAGGGCGAAGGAGGGGAGGATGAGGACGATGATGATGATGAGGTGGATGAGAAGGAGCCATTGGCGGGGCGGGACAGGGAGGGGAGGGAGAGGACGAAGGTGCTTAGGAGAGCAGTGCGCAGACAGATTGAAGTGGGACGCAGCGAGGCCACAGAGGTAACACATCATTTTATTGTTGTATCGCCGCTTTTCTGTTTTAGCTATCGGTGGCTATGACATAATCAATAACAAGTGCGATGACATAATCCGTAACTTGATTTTGCCAAAGTTGTCCCTCCAATGATTAAAAGATATGCCTGTAATGACCTATCTGTGCTATGTGACCATAAGCATAAATATTGAACTGTCGTGCGAATCATCTTTACAATGTATATGCTGTGCGTGTGCCGTGTGTTAGCTGAAGCGGCTGCAGAAGCAGAGGACTAAAAACCCAGTGTGCAACTTCCGAGTGCTGGTGTTTGTGGCTGGGAATGAGAAGGAGGTGTCAGAGACGGAGGCCCAACTGATTGCAGACCAGCTCAACTTCAAGGCCCCCATCGACACCACAGGTAGATGAAACACATGGAAGGGGAATATATACCAACACTCACGCACACATGAGTGCCACACATGCATTTACACAGTTTAGCCTCACACAGTTTAGCCATACTTGAAAAAGTTGCTTGTTTGTATTCCTGTTTGGTATTCGATCCTCTTCTATCCTATCCCATAGATCCGGTGCACCTCATACCACTCCTGTAAATCCTCAGGCTGCATCCGTATCAAGTTTTCAAAGGGCGGCTTTTCAATCAAATATCGAAATCAAATAGAGACTTTTTCAAAATTCTGCTTTGATAGGAGTTATCGCTAATCTAAGGTTCAATTGATCGAGATGCAATCCTGTTAAGTCTTTGTTTCGCACAAGATCAGAACTGTTCGTGTCAGCTATAAGAATCAGCGTCTACAAGTTACCCCATACCTCAGATTCATCTACCAATACTGACTGTACTTGATTTTAGTAATGTGACTGTGAAAATAAATGCGACTGTGAATAAAGCCAACAAGACTGCTCGTATCAGGGCGAAGCCCTGAATGTTCCGACTGCCTTTTAAGGTTTATGGAGCAGCAGTAATAGCATAAAAAAATTAAATGAAATAAAATAAAATGATTTTTTTTTTCTAAAATTTGAAATTTTTCATGAAAATCATCCCCCCACACGTCATATAAAGTACAAAAAGAGAGATTTCGTTCCTTGTAACAAATCAATTATGGCAAATAAGCTTCGTTTAACCAATTTGGAACGATTTATAAGACGAATTAAGTCTCCGCTTACGCGTTAATAGCGCGAATTATATCGCGCGTTAATTGTCCCAAATTGCTCAAAATGACCAAAATGGCAATCTTTAAACCCTCATAAAAAAAACCCACCCCGAGCACAAATATTCCGTTACTTTCGTACCGAAAGTCGGAACAATAAATAGTCTTGCAATTTAATCAAAAAATTGACAACGAGTTTAGGACCGATATTCAAAATACAGTCACGGAACATAGAAGTTCCAACTTTTTGATTTCAACGAAAAAATGAACGAACTTTTACTTCACATTTTGTTCGTTTTCTCAGCAAGAATTTAAGATACAGGGTTCAAATTTTGTTTTGAAGGCGAAGGCGTAAATTAGCCAGTATCTCAAAACTAGTTAAGAGGTGCTTTTGCTGTGGAAACATCCTAGCAAACAATATAAAAAAGTTCGGTGATATGTTACAATAGGTGGTAATTTTGAGTATATTGCATGTATGAAATTTGAGAACTATAATCCATATTATAGTCATTTCATTTTCAGTCAATTGTACTACTACTAAGATAGTTTTTGTAAATACATTACTCTGCCAAATGAAATGCTATTCAAAATTTCAAATTTACACATCTTGTGCCTAAGAATTTGGCTTATGAAATTGGCTTTAAACTATTGTGAGATATTCATATTTGGTTGACTGACCCTAAAATTGTTCTAAGGGCGCCTTCGGTGCCAATCTATATACTAATTTTGAGAGGGGAGTGCGCGCCGAAAAAACGCGATCTTTTGTTCGATATTTTCCAAAAACTGCCTCCTTGGCCTTTTGCAAAAATTTGCCCGAGGCGCACACAATTTTTATTCAAATTAGGGTCTCTTTAGTAGTTTTGGAGAGCTAAGAAAAAAAGGTCGACAAAATTTCAAAATTTCAAAATCAATTCCGCGTTTTAATCAAGTCCACGTTTTAAATATTGATGAAAAAAGAGATACATTTTTACTTGTTGCTATTCGCGGCAAATTTACAAACTGATTTTTTTCTGATAGAAACAATTAGGACGTGCGAGGTCGCGTGCCAAGTAAATCTCTTCAAAGAGATTATTTGACATGTGATCTCGGGGCCTTATTGTTTGTACCAGCTAAAGTCGGGTAGTAAATTTTAAAATTGCAGTAAACTGACTGATTTAAGCGTTGGAGACGATTGGGCAAGAAAATGAGTGCAAGAAGAAGATCAAAAAGGTGAAGAAGATCTTAGCTAACTTTTACGAGGCAGATGTCTACAACCGTTCGTCCGAGGCGGAAAAAGTGCAAGCGACCAGTGGTGTGCCGATGCACAGTTCGGACCCAAAAGTGAACCCAAATACAGCTGAAAACGACGTACCTGATGCCGTGAAGATGTTGATGGGGTATGAGGGGTGTAGTGGTAGTAGTGGGGTGGGGGTCGGGGGCGGGGATCGAATGAACCACGATTTGGACTGCACAGTGAGTGACTTGAGGCTGAAGTGGATCTGCAGTGAGATGAACAATGAGACGAAGCAGTTTCAACACATGATCTATCCTTACATGATGTTGTGGGTGCACGATGAGAGCAGTCTGCACATGGAGTGTGGACCAATGCTGGCCGCTCTGAAGGCTATCTCGTGGGCCAACAACGAAAATAAAATAGGTCAGTGCTGTTGCTGCTGTATAATGTCAATGAGTTACTCGCTTAATTAAACGCTGCCTAACCTAATAGTTGCTCAAGCTCAAACCATTCCCATACATTCGCTTAAAGCTAAAGAGCAAAGCAAACTTTCAATTCAATAATTCCTATTTCCAAACAGGGCTTCCATAATCTGACATGGCAACGGTGCTTTGCCGGGTTACTAACTCAAAATATTGAGGTTTCCAAATTTTCGTATTAGTTTAAAGAAAGGTAACGCTTTGCAATCGTCAAGTATTTGATCACAGACGCTAAATTGAATCAGTTGGATTTTGAAATATATAGCAACCCCTAACTATAAACTATATTCATTACCTATTTAAAGTGACCCTATTTAGCATGTGTCAAATTTATTTCTGAGTCAACTAGGCATATAACAGACCTGCCAAAGGCCTCGAACAATGAGAATGAGATTCTACTGATAGCATTATTTGTTCCCTCTCCCACGGGCAAGGGCCATTGAACGAGAATAAGCATCGATAGGGGAGTTAGCTCTGTCAAAAATGTCAGAAGTAGTGAGGTTAAATTCGTGGCTAAATGGATTTGATAGTGTGTGCCATGATGACTTCCTTGTCATTCGAGATTAAATTAGCTCATTTCGATCAATAAGATGGATAAGAGTTTTTAAGAAAGAAGACTAGAAATTGAGCGAGAAAGTTTCATTCTCAGGGAAAACGGCCAGGGGCGGATTTAAGGGGGGAGTGGACGCTTTCCCCGTACCCCTCAGGGACTCGACCCCCTCGCCAACCAAAACTTCACCCTTTGGTATTATTTTATAACATCCATTTTCGACCGACCAACCATTACCATTAAACATATACTAATTTTGAAGGGAAGCGCGCGCCGAAAAGAAAATGCCATTTTTTTAGTCTAAGTTTTTCAAAAAGTGCCCAAAAACAATTTTTTAACCTTTTTTTAATTTGACTGCGACGCATAATTTTTGGTCAAAATAGAGTTTTTATAGTGTTCGAGTAAAGCTCAGAAAATCAATTTGGTCGACTTAAAAAAAAGTTCGATGAAGTTTTCGTAAAATTTTTGAAAATCCACCCCCCTCAAGAAAATCCTGGATCTGCCCCTGAAAACGGTTGTTTTTAAATCAAGTTTAATTGTTCCATTTTTGTACGAGCCATTTCATTATGAGACCGATTTAACCGATTTTTTTCCGGCACTGAGAAAGATTTTTGAATTCTCTTTGTAATAGTGATCGAATCACGGTTGAAAGGGCTTTGCTTGACCCTATCTGACTTTTATTTGTACTACCTTAGTTTGCGAAGAAAAAACTGAAACACTCCCGAATACAAAGTTCCTCCAAAAAGTGGACGCAACACAATTTTCAGTGGATGCAACACAAAACCATAGAAATAGTCGGGAGACTGTAAGCTTTTTACTGTATTTGAGATGTACTTGCAAAAATTGAGATGATCATAAACATATTGTGCAAGTGATGGTAAATTTCTACTTGTTGAAATATTTTTTGTGCGTTTTAATTGTTGTTTTAAAACTTCATCTTTGTGTAACTGGTGCAGCATAAAAACACCAGTGCTACATGCTTAAAAAATTAAAAACACTGAAACATAATCAGTTACAGTTTAAAAAAAAAATTACTGCATTACTCAGTAAACTACCTTTCATCCTGGGTCGACGTGCTCTCTTACGTTTCGACTTTTAAAAACAAGTGCTTTACCAAAAAATTGAGACAGAGTTTTAGGCCGATCGCAAACTCGAAGGATATCTAGAGCACGGTCGGAGCATAAGAAAAATTTGATTGAGCACGCGTAAAAATTTGGTCAAACACGGTCAAAAAATACCTCGAGCACGATTACAATTGTAAATCTCAATCATTTTTTTAAAACGTCTTGAACCAAAAACGAAAACAGAATATTCATATGATGGAAAAAATATTTCAAAAATTAGTTTGTCGTTACAAATCATGAAAAGTACAATTGATATAAGCCACTTCATTCTGATAAAAAAAGTTACTCTGAGATAAAAACTTATAATTTTGGTTAACTGATACTAATTAAAAGTCGAAACATATCTGGTTTCGGCCGTTACAATTTAAACATGGGGGAGCGGTGGTGAAGTGGTTACGTCTCCGCCTTTCAATCGAAAGGTTGGATGTTCGAGGCCCACCATGATCCGTGCTCGTTGCTTGAGGGTGAAGCAACATTACCCAGCCCAGAAAAATAACCAAAAAATAGCATGTAGTTCTTAAACAAGGGCACAACAGCGGTTCGCCGTGATGAGCTGTACAGCTCTTGCGTTGGTCCTTTCCCCCGTGGATAGGTGGTCTTAAACATAACTCGCTTGAGTCCAGCAAAATATACTTTCAAAACATAACTGAGTGTGGCCAAGACGGTCAAAACATACGCCAAATTGGTCGAGACGGACGAAATATACAGATTTTTGATCGATACGACCGAACTACACAGTTAGAAGACCGACCCGCAGTATATAACTGTTATTTTGATCATTATTGATTTTTATTGATTAGAAGCTCTCTATTTTCACTTGTTTGAACGAGTAGTGAGCAATAGCGCTTCCTTGTAAAAACAAAACCAAGCATTTTAAATGCGCATTTATCAGTTTAAGTACGGAATTTATAGGTCGATTTACTTTTTTCTTCAAAATTTATTGATTTTTTCAGTAGTTTCATTTGAACAAAATTGTTATATCATTTGAAAAGCATTGACGTCGAGATAAAAATTAGAAAAAAAATAGTTAATCTGTGGCCACCTTAGGATAACCAACGCTTGATATATACCCTGCTATTATTGCGTAGATGGATATTTAAACTAGCTTTATAAACATTTCATTTTCCAGGCATTAAGAACATTAATTTTTTATCTGAAAGAAATTTTAAATTTTTTATGTTGATGAAAATTTCATCAATTTTCTGATAATTTTGTTTGACGGATATTTAAAGGCAGTGGGAATTTTGAGTCCTTGTTTAAAGACTGCTCTGATACAAGCAATTTCGTTGTTTCTGATTTAGAAAAAATAACAGAGTGCAAATTACGCTTCTTGTTTGCACAAACTTGACTAATGCAAAATTCTATTGAACTAATCGGCATGGAATGAGTTAAAGGAATTGAGTTAAAGGCGTCAAGACTATAAATTTTCCTCAAAAGTTTTCAGTTTCAAGCTTTGTAGCTTGCTATATGCAAGACATGTAGATAATTATTTTCTGAAGCATCCATTCATCTCAAGTTCTTGATCATATTTAACTCAAATCAAATATGAAATTAGAGTTCTTCTTAAAAAGAAAACGTCGGAAATTAAAAAATGTCTTTGAATAGGATTTTTGTCAATTAGAAACCTGTCAAATAAAATCAAAAAAGAATTTTAGCACCAAAGTAATATTATAATCAGTAGCGTGCCGAGCGAGTGGAGCGGGATGTGGGCGACCGCCCTCTCTTCCCTTTATTCTGGTTAGCAAAAGTTTCCTATGGTTTAAGTTTTCCTAATTATACCCGAGGCTGGACTAAAATTGGTTTCTAAATAAATTTGCGCAGTAAGCCGAAAAAACGCAGTTTTTTGGCCGTTTTTTTAAACAGTGCTCAAACGTAATTTTAGCCTTTTTTTGTCTCTAAAACTTGCCTGCGGCGCAGAAAATTTTTGAAAAAATGCAGTCCTTACTGTGTTTCGAGACAAAAATGGTCGACTTATAAAAAATTTGACAATTTTTTGAAAACTTTCGAAAAACAAAGCACTAGACAATTTTTTGCGCACGCCACTGATCATAATAAACATATTTTTGTTTTGCCATTTAAGGTCTCTAATAAGGAATAACTTTTTTACCGGAAAGTAGGAGGTAAATCAGCCGAAGTAGAAACCAGCCGAAGTGTAAACCAGCCGAAGTGTAAACCAGCCGAAGTATTAACCAACCGAATATACGTAAGTTTTATACAATAGATAATAGTCAGGGGCTGATCTAGGATAATCTCGAAGTGGGATTATCAAAAATTAGTTAAAAACTTATTCAACCTTTTCTAGGTCGACCAAATTGATTTTTTCAGCAATCCCGGCACACTTTTAAGACCCTATTTTGACAAAATTTTCTGCGCCGGTGGCACGCTTTTAAAAAGTCTGGTCAAAAATGCCGTTTTTGAGAAAATTTTTGGAAAACTTTGACCATAAAATTGGGTTTTTTCGGCGCGCGTTTGCCTCCAAACTTAGTATATATTTTAGGCCGCAAAAGGATGTCATAAAATAATAGCAAAAGGGTTTCTTTGGTTGTTGAGGGCGTCGAACCCCTGAGGAGGGCGTTCCTCCCCCTAAATCCGCCTATGATAATTGTTATCAAACAATTATGTCACAATTATGAAAGTTAAGCACATCTCATTCATCTGATGTAAATTTTCAGCCGGCTAATATAATCAGCGCTTTTTATTGGTTTGTACTTCAGCTGCTTCAAATACTCGGAAAATAGCATCACAGAAGTCGAAAATTTGATTAGATGCTTTAAATAGGCGAAGACCCAAAAAACAATAAAATTCTATCAGATCTGGATATCAATAAGTAAGCTTTAGTGTTTTTTGATTACCTATTTTTTACGTGAAAGTCCATGCCAAACATTTTTTGCATCAAAAATTTTTCGAAATTTCATGCACTTTAATGTAATCAGCTGTAAAATTTTTTCCAGTAGATGCAAATATGGAAGGTGACCCCCTAGCTTAGTTAAAGTAAATATTAAGACGAAGGATCAAATTTGCAATGCTAGGTTGCTGAAAAGTTGGAAAACACGATCAAAATTTTGCTGCAGAAACGTGAATCTGCAGGTCTCTACTGCTGAGATAAACAAATTTCGGGTCTTTTCCAGTTTATCACCCCCCTGGTAAAATTTAAAAAATTAGGCTGCTCAAAAATTGTTCACACGGCGTTTTGCATCTAAAAAAATGTTGTCAAAATTTGTTCACCTGTTCACGCTGACGCGTTCACGCTGACATTCTAATACAGTTTTT